TCCCCATCTCAGGCTCTACACACACAGCCCGAGACAAACAGCCATTGTGCCAGTGTACATGTTCTATCTGAGATGGCAAAGATATCTCAACTAGAAGTTCAAATCTACTCCTGACTGCTCACTCCTCCTCGGCCTGCTCTTCCTGTGGTCTCTACTGCTGCAGATAACAATAATAAAAAACAAGTTTTTTTCATAGCTTACATTTTTATATTTTATACAAAAAAAAAAAATCAGCCAATACGGTGAGCTATACCATAAAAATATCTTCAGAAGTGACTCATTTCTTTCTCCAAGTACTATTAAATCAATAACTTTCTCCTGGGCTGGGAAGGTGGCTCAGTGGTATAGCGCTTGTCTTGCATGCATGAGGCCCTGGGTTCGATTCCTTAGCACCACATAAGCAGAAAGAAAAAAGCCGGAAGTGGCGCTGTGGCTCAAGTGGTAGAGTGCTAGCCTTGAGCTGAAGAGCTGAGGGACAGCGCCCAGGCCCAGAGTTCAGGCCCCACGACCAGACCAAAATAAATAAATAAATAAATAGATAGATAGATAAATAACTTTATCCCATCTTACTATATTGTACTAGCCCGCCTGGCTCCCCATGACTGTCCTAGAGTCCTTCCTAAGCAATACCTTAAAAGAAAAACTGCAAATCCTGAGTTCCATGTTGTCAAACTCCAGTGTTTACCTATTTACTCCCCCACCCCCACCCCAAAAATCAATTGTGTAAAGACTGATCTGGCCAGATCATTATCTTTCTAACTTTGCTGCTATCTTGTCTACACTATTCTATTCAATCTAGGCTCATTTTTGTTCCTGGCACATGTCAAGTTATGAGTTACATATTGTTGCATAACTGAGTTATTCTGAAGTTCACTGGCTTAAAACTTCTCCTACAGTTTCATTTGTTGTTATTGGCCTTCTTATTTATTTTAACACACAAAGTAACTGTACACACACAGGGTACCATGTGATCTTTTAATGTATGTATCACGATCAAATCAGGGTAATTGACCTATCATCTCAAGCATTTCTTTGTGTTAGGAAAACTAAGACTCTTCTTGCTATTTTTGAAATAGCAAATTATTAACAGCAATTACTCTCACTGTGTTTTAAAACTCTAGAACTTACTCATCCTATTTTCTCTGTAATTTTGTGCCCATTATACAACCTCTCCTTATCTCCCTTTCCTCTCTACGACAGTATGGCCTCTAGTAATCACAGCTGTAGTTATAATTATCATCTCATAGTAGTAGGGAATATTTCACTGTTACATCTCCATACATGTTAACAATGCATTCCAATAAATCTCACCACCTCTATATGTCTGGGTTTTTTTTCCTTTTATGTTAATATCATACTATTGTGATTACTGTAGCTTTGTAGCATATTTTGAACTCAGGTAATAAAATGACTCCTGCTTTATTTTTACTCAGAATAGTTTGGACTATACAATCTTTTGTAGTTCCACGCAAACTTTGGGATTCTTAATCCTAATTCTATGGTGACTGTTGTTGGATTTTTGATAGGGACCGAATAAATCATTTGGGTATGGGCATTTAAACAAATACTTATTCTTCCAGTCCATGAACATGGACACTCTTCTCCTTCCTCCTTTCTCTGTTCTCTTCAATTTTTTTGTCAGTGTTGTTTTTTTTTTTTTAATTCTCATTGTAGATATCTTTTAATTTTTTGGTAAATTTTATTCTTAAGGAATTTTATAGGTATTAAAAATGTGAAAGTCTTGATTTTTTTTTCAGATTGCTCACTATTGGCAAACAGAAACTACTAATTTCTTACACTGAATTCTATAACATTGCTGAATTCATTTATCAGTTCAGATAAGATTTTTATAGAATCTATGGTTTTCTATAAATATGTCTTCCAGTAGGTCACTAATCAATGTATGGCTAGGCCTCACAGCAACAAGCAACTATACTACCTATGGTTGCTGCTGTAATCACCTCAGGGCTGAAATGGCTAAAGATCAATTTCTAAGTTCATTCATAAGAGTGTGAACAGGATTCATTTATGGTCTACTGGTCTGATAGTCTCTGTCCCTTAGTAGATGTTGGCCAAAGGCTATCATCTCTTCTGGACAATGGGGCCTCCCTAACTTATTTCATCAATTTAATCAATCCAAAAGGGCAATACAGAGTCTCTTTTTTTTTTTCAGTCATGGAGCTAAACTCAGAGCCTGGACGCTGTCGTTTAGCTTTTTTGCTTAAGGCTAACTCTGTACCACTTTGAGCCACAGTTCCACTTCCAGTTTTCAGGTATTTAATTGATGAGTCTATTGACAGACTTTCCCACCCAGGCTGGTTTCCAACCATGATCCTCAGAATTCAACATTCTGAGTAGCTAGAATTATAGGCATAAGCCACCAGCACCCAGCTAGAAGTCAATCTGTTAGGCTAATTTCAAAAGCAACATTTTGTCTCTATGCAATCAAATGGTTATCAAATGAATTAATGAGGTGGGAACCACAAGGAATCTGTAACCTACCATACCCAATATGGCCCCACTAAGGAACTAATACTAGATGCTGAGTATATTCTAGATATCTGCATGTCTTCTCCCTCATTTTCAAGTCTTTCACCTAATAACATATTCTCGGTAAGACTGTCATTTTCTAAAACCAGAAACAGACTTTGTAAATGTTCAGTTCTTCTCCCCCACAAACACTTCTCATTACCTCCCTTGTTTTCTTTTTCTCCATTCCATTTGCTGACATTAGCATTACATAGTATGGTTTAATAGTGTGATTGATTTCTACTCTAACTTCACGAAGCTAATATTACATTTCCCTTTCCTCCTCTGAATTGTTTTAGGCTGTTATGGGCCACAGGAGACATTATGTAGGACTCAGTAAATAAAATAAAATAATAGTCATATACTGAACTTTTTATATTTGGAAGGCTTGTGCTAGGCATAAGGCAATGTTGCAAATGGTTTAAGTTGTTATCTATCTGGTGACTAATCTTATAAAAATCAGATACCAGCCAGTTATGTAGATTCCTCAATTCATGCCAGATCTCTCAAATTCAACAAAATTACAAGGAAGGTTATCACCCTCGTCAACATTTTTTTTGGCATTTCCATCACTGATGATTAGTAATTACTTAAGTAATTTGTTCAACTAGTCGTTAAAAGTGTTCTAGATCTTCTGACATTTTTCTCTAAAATATTTTAATAACAGTTTAGACTACCCAGCAGAAAAAATTTTAATGGTATGAGGTTTGTACTCATGATCTTGAATTTCTAGGCAAATGGAAGTCATGCTGCTAGCCCTTAAACTTATTTTTTGAGCAGATGTAAATACCTGTCGTGTGTGTGTGCACGTGCGCACACACACACACACACACACACACGCACACACACACACACACACGCACATTTCAAGTCCTAAAGTTTGAAATCAGGGACTGGGGACTGTCCATGAGCTTTTTTGCTCAAGGCTAACACTCTACCATTTGAGTCACAGCTTTTTAGCTTTTTGGTGGTTAACTGAAGTTTCATAGAGATTCCTGCCCAGGTTAGTTTTGAACCTCCATCCTCAGACCTCAAAGTCCTGAGTAGCTAGGATTACAGGGGTGAGCCACTGGCGGCCAACTATTAATTTTCATTTAAAAAGAGAGAGAGAGAGAGCAAAGGAATTCCATGTATTTATAGGCTTATTGATATACAGGAATATGAAAGGGGCATTACACAATTTAAGCTTGTTTTCCAAATATATCACTTAAATGAAAACTAAACAGCAATGATTGTCCTGGTTTCATATAGGAGGCAAATTTAGGGACGTTAAAAAAAATTTCTTTTGGCTTTTTTACCCTATTTCTTAAGAGTATAAAACTTACAGTCATTCTCATGAGATGCAAACCAGCAAGGCTAAAATTGTTAGAGGAAATAGTAAGGTCTCTTCCTTAGTAACTTGTACAGTGATTTTTTTTCATAGATACCCAATATGTGGACATGATTTAGAAACAAAATTCTCAACAAACCACTAAATCTGTATGAAGCTATTTTTAAGTCACCTGTTTTATTTGGGGGGAATGGGTTTGCGTGTCTAAAGTGGTGACTTTTAATTTCCAAGATGTAGAAACATGTAAACGCTTCTATCTATCATCTTAACCTGTGGCGTGGTTTTTGGTGCTTACACATTGAGTCTCTTCACTAAAAGTAGATACGTGCTCTACATTCTTTCCATTGCAAATCCAGATGTACTTTAAAAAAAAAAAAATTGCACAACAACATGACATCCAATAATCCCATTGATTCAATATTCACCGTTGGCTGATTGATCCGTGATCTTTTCAGTTCACTCAGAAAATTGGCCAACATTTCACTGTAAAAAAAAAAAAAAAAAATGTGCAAAAAAAAAAAAAAAAAAGTAGTTTAAAAATGCGGGGTGAAGCGTCAAAGCGTGAAACGCACTCATAACCAGACCTGGCGTTTTCTAAGCCTCTCAGTACACAGCTGGAAGTTTCAAGTCCCCCCGCGGGATAACTGATCAAACCAATGATTAGCCGCTGGCTCCCCGCTTCGCGGCCCCTGGTGGGGCGGGGGACAGGCCTAGAAACGCCGATGGCAGAAAGACCAAAACATGTTGCCTTACTTTGATATAAGAACGTACCAAAAGGCTCAGCGTGTGAACCGTCGCATGCGAGCTGTCAAAGACCCGACTGAAAAGGAAACGGACCTCCGCTCTCCTCAGCGCACTCGGCCCGCGTCCGCCCGCCACGGCATCCCACAAATCTCGCGAGAGCACCCTCGCTCCCCACCTAGGCGCATGCGCCCCGTGCAGGGTACGGGTAACCCGCCCCACTTTCCAGCCGGAGAAAACGCGAAAAAAAGCCCCCCCGCGAGACGAGAAAGGCAATTGGCGAGAGCGGGAGGGTGAACGACGGAAGAGGCGGGGCCTTGACGGAAGGCGGGCCAGAACCGTGCTTGGCCCCCGCCGTTCGCGGCATTTCCGCCGGAAGTTGTCATCGAGTCTATAAAAGAGCGTGCGGCGGCCCCCTTGGCCCTTTTTGCCCGGGAGGTCGCGTCTTCGTCTCTGGGGTCAGCCGACCAGTCCCCGAATATACGTTCATGCGGAGTCAGTGAAGTGGAGGAGATCCGGGAGTACTGCCGTAGTGGGAGATGGCGGTCAGCGTGAGGGCTGAGCCCACTCGGGGGTGCACCGGGGCCCGGGACGGGCCTGCGCAGGCCGGCGCCGTTCGGCCCGAGCCGGGACGGGTCGGCAGGCTGGGCACGGCCGGCCGGGACGGAAGTTGGGACGCCGTCGGGGGCCCGCCGTGAGCCCGTTCTGCGGGAGCCAGCGCCGAGCTCGCGGAGGCCCGCCGCGGACGGTGAGTACCGCCTTCGGCCGTCTCCCCATCTGAAACCTCCATGTATCTATGGGACCTGGCAGCCGTGGCAGGCTCCCTTCCTAGCCATGGAAGAGCATGATCCTTGTTGATTGGCAAAGCTGGCACCATCTCGGTTGGTATCAGATTCTGACTTGCACAAGGAACACGGCGCCCATTGATTTTACAGACCTGCGAGATAAACTCGGTCTCCTGGGGCAAAAAGCCTTACTAAAAACCATGTTCTTGTTTCCCAGGAGCCCTGAACTCGTGGCTGATAGAGTGACTGAAACTGACGGCGTACGGTTTGCCTGGCGGTGAGTATTTTCAGTCGATCTGAAAACATCCGCAGCCTTTAGAATTCGCCAGATCGCTGGCACTTTATAATCTTGCCAGTTGGAATAACTGGGGCAAGTGCACAGCTAGCCGTTCTGTAATAGTTTTTTTTTTCGTTACAGGCAAAGAACTCCAAATGATAATGGATGAAATACACAGCGTCTTCCAAAGGCTCGCCAAAGTTTCAAACCTTGGGAGTGGATATTTTGAATAATTTAGAAGGTATCAGCACTATTTTCAATGCAGCCCTGCATTATTTTTTTTGTCCGGTCATGGGGCCTGAACTCGACCTGGGCACTGTCCCTCAGCTCAAGGCGAGTGCTCTACCACTTGAGCCACAGCGCCACTTCCGCTTTTTTTTTTGCTTATGTGTTGCTGAGGAATCGAATCCAACGCCTCATGTATGCAAGGCAAGAGCTCTTCCACTGAGCCACATTCCCAGCCCTCGTGAATTTTTTTTATAAATAAAGTGGTTTAAAGATACGTTGCTTTCTTCTTGACTAAATCATGAAAAGAGTAAACTTCCGTTTAGGGACTGATGAGTTGCAAGACTATAGAGTTTGAGAAGAGGTTATGTATAATTTTAAGGGGGAGAGAACAGGGTGTTCGATAACAAAAGAGATGCAACACAAATTGAGAAGTTATGCGATTTATTTACACATGCACACCGACCATTTGTGCCAGATAAGGGACTCTAAACGTGTTTACTGGCCTTGAAACATTGCCTGCTGTACTTAAAACTTCATGATATTGTTACCACTTTAGTTATTAAAAAGCAGCCAGTGATTTTGCAGAATGGTGTAAAAAGTACAAATTGCACTTTTAGCCCTTGTGCAACTGGATAGCATGTTTGTTGCACGTGTGAATACTGCTGGAAAGTAATGGAGGTGGTGGGCTTTCAGGAAAGCACACATGATGCTCCACATGAAACATGGCTTGCACATTTGCAAAGTATAAAGCACCTCAAGGTTTGCACCAGTCTTTATCAAATAGGATTTAATGAGGGGATGTAATTAGATGCACTGGGAAAGTCAGGTAAACTACTTTGTAGAGACACCCAAGTATAAGGAATACTTACACCCTTACTCAAAGTGCTGATTCTTCCGAAGGTTTCATGGTATTAGCAATAATGGTTATGATTTGAGAGTATTAAGTTGTGCCATACAGTTAGGAGCAGAAAAAATTAAGCCACCTAGCTGACTTGCCCCTTTGAGAAGTCTGGGCCAAGCAGCTGAGGAACAAAGTCATCCTGAGCAAGAAAGTCAATGGTGTAGACTTAGCTGTTCATCTTCCCATGGCAATAATTCACTTGGGTATTCTGTCAAGAATACTAAGCTTAAAAAGGAGTTGCCATGAGCATAGTGCAATGATACTTATCTCTAACCACCAAAAAGAAGTGGGGCTTTTGCTCAAGTATAAGTGAAGTATAAGCCTTCAGTGAAAGCTAAGGAAAGCAGCCTGGAAGTGGAGGTTGTCCTTTGCCTTGGAATCATCTTTCATCAGCCATATAGTTTACTCAGTCAGAAATGAGGCAACTCTAAAATCCTACTGATCTTAAGTTGCACAGACTTTTCTAGATTATGATTTATACAAGGGAGAAACATTTGTCAGGTTAGGTTTTATAAGGTTAGTGTTGGGAAAACCTGTGAGTCAGTTGCTGGGACATTCCAGTAGATGGCACACTTGTCATGGGCCGTGAAACTGTTAGATAATGAAGGTTGTAAATGTTACCGGAAATCCTCCAAATTACAAAGTGGCTTAACTCTTCTGAAAAATACATTTGGAACTTAACTAGGAGGAAGTAAGTAGCAAGTAACAAGGCATTTATGGGAATGTTGGGACAAACACATCCTGTAGCTTAGTGATTATTGCTGCTACAGGTGTATAATGGAATACCCTTTAGGCCTTTGATTACCTCATTAGAGAGGTTACACCGGTTTAAAAAAAAAAAGCCAAACTAGGTAATGATCCCGTTCTTAATTTAAGGTAACTTTTTATCAAATGTGGACACTTAAATATGAATCCAAGTACCATATTGCATTAAAGTAAGAACAGTTACTGCAAAGTCAATGTGGGAAGTGCATGCAGAAGAGATGAGACTTAAATGAGCATTTTGTTTCTCCTGTAAACTTGGTAGCTAGCAATGCTAGTTTAAAAGCAACCAGTATTGAGGTATATAACCAAAAGAGTTCACAGGTTTTCAAAAGCAGCAAGTGCTGCATAGCTTTTACCACAACAAAAAGCAGGAGGAACACAGAACTCAGTCTCCTGTAGTTGTCACTTCTAGATTAGTGCTAGTAGTGGAGGCTGATGGCTTTCTATTCCCACCCCTCCCTCGGGTTTCAAGGAGCTAAAGTGGTGATACTTTTAATCCAAGGTACAAAGGCTGAGACTTTGGTATAAACACCAGGGGAATCCTTAAGTCCACAACCATATCCCCAAGATGTCACTCCATACACAACCCAGCTGTCTCCAGACCGCTGGCACACAAGTGGTCCTCCACTGTCACCCTGGCAGCTGTCCACACTCGTGTGTTCATGGAGGGTTCCAGCACACAGCATTCTCCTTGTAAACCGGCCCTTATAACGTTCTTCACAAAATCTCTTGGGAAGTAGGGGGATGGCTGCTTGTTGGAGTGTTCTTGAATAGGCTCGTCCTAGTCAAACCAAATTAATTAATTGATGAACTTCCAGCTAATGATAACATGTCAACAGTTAAACATTTAGTATTTGTGAAAATGAAATCACGGCATTCATGTAATTCAAATAAGTTTAAACTATAAGTGACCTATGTAGTGCTACCTACATTTTTTTGTTGTTGGAACTTCTAGTTGGAATACAAGTTTACAGGGACTTTTTGTGCCAGTACTGGAGCTTGTAGTCCACCTGGGCACTGTCTTAGCCTTTTTACTGAAGGCTGGCACTTAGCCATTGAGACCACAACTTCATTTTTGGATTTTTGGTGGTTAAGTGGAGTCTTAGCTCTGCCTGGGCTAGCTTTGAACTGTGATCCTCAGATCTCAGTCCCCTGAGTAGTTAGGAGTACAGTTAACAAGTTTGTTTCTCAATATTGAAATTTTCAAGAAATAATGAGTAACGCGGGCTCTGAGCTTAAAAGGAAAGGTACAGAAAGCACAATTCCTGCAGGTTTTACTACAGTCTTTATATTATTTTTTATATTATATTTTACTACTGTCTTGTATATTAAAAAGCCAGAAGTGTATTTGTGCTGGTTTTGAATTAGCACACTAACTACATTGAATTTCAGGATTAAAAAAATAAATGATTCTCCTGACTCATGCCTGTAATCCTACCTACTTAGGCTGAAATCTGAGAATTACAGTTCAAAGCCAGCCAAGACAATTTTAGAAGTCCTTGAGATGCTTAATCTCCAATTAGCCAGAAAGAGCCAGAGCCAGAAGTAGAGGCCTTGCTCAAGTGGAAGAACACCAATCTTGAGTAAAAAAGCCAAGTGTGAGCTCAAGGCCCCTGAGTTCAAACCCACATATGAGCAAAGCATATATACATAAATACCTAAATAGGTATGTGGTAGTATACAAAATGGTTCAGAAATCAAGCATTGGCCCTGCTTTGCTGTATCGACATAGTCTTCATTTTTACCACCAAGTGCAAGTATTCTCTAACTTTAATTGCTGAGCCATTCAGTACTTACTTGTTCCCATGTATGAAATGTACAACTGACATGTTCTCCATGATTACATTTTCTTGTATATAAACCCATTAGAATCTCCACTAAATCGGGATAACTAAGCTATTAAAAAATTCTGTAATTTACTTACTTGGTCATTTTATATTCAGATATGGTGTCATTTTCCCATGTAAAATCATTCTAACAAACTAGCTTCTGAGAGCATCCATTTTTCACATGGGCCAACATACTGTATTTTGAGATGGCATACTTTGATTTTATGAACTTTACCTCAGGATCATTTCCAGTGTTTTCTTGATATTCTGTTATCTAGAATAAATGTTCTACATCTTGCTACTGCAGAGGTCTCTAAATCTAGTTTTAGTCCACCTAATCCAGGTAAAATCTAAGCCTGCTTTGACACCTAACCTGAGCAAGTACTTCCTGATAAAAATGCTCACACATAACCCTCGCTACTTGGGAGGCTGAGATCTGAAGACAGCTAGGAAAGTCCTGAGACTCTTACCTCCAATTATGCACCAAAAAAGCCAGACATGGCTCAAGTGGCAGAGCACTAGCCTTGAGCAACAAAGCTCAGGAACAGCTTTCATGCTGTCCTTTAACTTGGCCCTAAATTCAAGCCCAAAAAAGAAAAAAGAAATTGGTTTAACTACAGCAAGATGATTCAAAAACAAGAACAAACTAAGCACTCTTTCTGCTTAAGGTTTGCAAGAATGGGAAGGGAGGATGAAGGAGAAACTTTTTGTGGGTTTCACTTCAACCTCCACCTGTGTTCTATGTTAAGGAAGTCTCCATAAAAATTTAACTTGAGGGGCTGGGAAAGTGGCTCAGTGGTAGAGCGCTTGCCTTGCATGCCTGGGGCCCTGGGTTCGATTCCCCAGCACCACATAAGCAAAAATAAAAAAGCCAGAAGTGGCACTGTGGCTCAAGTGGTAGAGCGCTAGCCTTGAGCTGAAGAGCTGAGGGACAGCGCCCAGGCCCAGAGTTCAAGCCCCACGACCGGACCCAAAAAAAAAATTTTTTTTAACTTGATTATGGGCTCTATAGGAAAAAGACAAATCATAGAATATTAAAGCCCTTTGCAGGGCCAACTACATTAAATTCATCCGAAGAAGCTTTGTGTGTGTTTGTGTATATGTGTGAATGCCTCCCCTGGGACTTGAACTCAGGGCCTGGGTGTTGTCCCTGAGCTTTTGTGCTTAAGACTAGTGCTCTCCCAGTTGGAGCCACAGGTCCATTTCTGTGGATTGAGTCTTTTGCTATGTGGACTGACTTTGAACCATGATCCTCAGATCTCATTAGGATTATAGGTATGAGCCACTGGCACCAGGCTTGGAAAAACTGTTTAAAATACACACTGTCAGATCCAAGGGTATGGAGTAGTCTTAAAAATCTTTCCCAGTCCTTTGGGCTGGGAAGGTGGCTCAGTGGTAGAGCGCTTGCCTTGCATGCCTGAGGCCCTGGGTTCGATTCCTCAGCACCACATAAGCAAAAAGAAAAAAGCCGGAAGTGGCACTGTGGCTCAAGTGGTAGAGCGCTAGCCTTGAGCTGAAGAGCTGAGGGACAGTGCCCAGGCCCAGAGTCCAGGCCCCACAACCGGACCTCCAAAAAAATAAAAAATAAAAAAGGGAATTCAAAGTTAATAGAACATTCTCCACTAGCAGTTTGGTTCTCTCAGCTGGTGCTAATGTTGCAGCTGGACCCACAATCAGCTCATGATGTGAATCTAGATTTAAGCTTGGCAGAATCTCCAAACATCTAAGCCTGAAACAATTTAAGATCTCAATACCTGCTGTACAACCAAATCTGGCTAATGGCAGACACTGAAAGGTACCCAACTTTGCTCATTTGTTCTATTGTATTAGATTACCTGTGTCTCCCCATCCTGTTATATAACAATTGGAGGCAGTTTTGTGTGGCCTCTCTCTCCGAAGGGGTAAACAAGCTGGCATTACATGACTACTGAGTCGGGCACATTGCTCCTCTGGTCCTTGCAACCTCACCAGGGCGATGTCATAGTCACTGCTATCTGGCCGATAGTCCCTGTGAATCACAATCTGTTGAACTCCAATTTCTTCTTCAAATTCCTCTGGCACCAGAGTATGATAATCCCCAACACGAACAGCATAGTTCCTGGTATTGTTACCATACCTGAGAGAGAAAGCTGATGAGAAGCTTGTTCCAGATACTGAAAATTGGTGACTGACAGCCCAGGATGCTAGCAGAGATCATGGAAGGCTCAGTTCCAACTTATTGGACACTTGGTAAATATAAACTATCTTTGTCTTTCTCTGACCCAGTGCTCACTGTCTCCTGGGAACCTGTTGCAATCACCTCTTATTTCCATTTCACTATGAAGTCTAGATTACCAATTAATCTTTATTTTCTGCAGAGCAAATGCGGAAAATAAATGGAAACAAAGATCAACAACCTATCGGATTCTCCAAAGGGAAAAAAATAAAAAAGGATCAGAACAGGAATAAATAACATAGGGCAGGATTATTGTCCTACATTTTTCATTTCTTTTTTTTTTAACCAAGGTTTTAAGTTAATCCTGAAAGACAGTATTACTCTCATTCCTAGCATGGACCAAATGCAAACCCTGTTTTCAGGTCAGCATATACACATTCTCCCCCCCCCCTCCCCCCCCCTTTCTCCCTCCCTCCCTCCCTCCTTACCTCATCTCAACTACTAAGCACCAAATACTTCACACTTCCAAAATTTTGATTTCAAAACCCTCATACTTTGCCACCTTGTATTTGTGTAGCTCTATTACTCTTGAATTCTTTGACTCCATTGATTTTTCCATTCCACCCCTCTACTTATGGCCGCCCTTCTTATCTGCCTTGGGCTCAGCTGTCTGTGGCCACAATTAGTTTGGCAAAATGCTCCATCCTTTTGCCTGCTCAAAATGGATTCTGGTTTTATCACCTCTTCTCATACTCGGTGCTGGCATCTGAATGTTAAAGGGGAAAGCACATAGGTAACAGCTCTCACCTTAACGGTGGGACCAAAACTTGAGAGTCATGTACACTTTACAAGACCTCTACTTGAATGTGAGCTTAAAGTTAGCCTCCTGCTAGACTCAATGTCTTAGGTTTATAATCACAATACTTGAGAGAAGAAGATCCCAAATTCAATGTAGCCTGAGCTACATAAAAGACTCTCCCAATACATTTCCACAGACAGATAGGAAAATAGACAAAAAGATAGACTCCTAGATATATAGATAGATACATAGATATATAGATAGACATAGCTAGATAGAAAGATGGATAAATAGGTAGAGATAGATTGATAGATTGATTGATAGATAGGGTTCTAAGTAGGTCTCTGACCTTCTGTAATTACTGACTTACATGGCCATTTACTGTTGTTCCAATAATTGTAATAAATTCTATGACCTTGAAACTCCATGTTCAACCTTAAATCACCACCTCTCTTTAAAGTGCAGAGGCTTTTCAATTGTGCCTAAAGAACAGATTCTTACAGGTTCCACTTCAAAAATTAAGTAAAAAGTTTAGAAGTATGAAAAATCAAGTTTTCAAACAACCCTCACTTCTGCTTTCTGCATAGTATCACAACAATTTAGTATAATTGTGCCTAAAGAAGAGGTTCTCAGGTTCCATTTCAACTGTTAGGTAAAAGTTTAGGATTCTAAAAAATAATTAAGTGTTTCAATAACCCTCACTTCCACTTTCTGTGAAATATCATAAAAATTTAACTTATTAACAGAATATTCTGGCTTTTAAAGGCAGGCATGGGACTCCTGCCCCTGCATACCTGCAACTCACTGGGGAGTAAGCACCCAAAGACATTACGAATAGGTATCAAAGTACCCAGTATTGTGTTCATATAATATGTTCTGAGATCAACTCTATTTTAGGCAGGTGTCCCCTAGAATTAGTATGCTTACCAATCTGGCCTTCAGCGATTATAAACTGAAAATAAACCATTTATCTTAATAAGAAGGAAAAAAACACCATTCTTGTCAAAATGAAAAGCTTAGCACCTACACTTATTTATTTTATTTTATTTTTATTGTTCTGTCAGTCATAGGGCCTGAACTCAGGGCCTGGGTGCTGTCCCTGAGCTCCTTTTGCTCAAGGGTAGTACTCTACTACATTGAACCATAGCTCCACTTCCAGTTTTCTGGTGGTTAATTGGAGATAAGAGTCTATAGGCATGAGTCCCCAGCATCCAGCTGTACCTACACTTTTCAAGTGGTCCTAATTTAAAGAAATAGATCCTGTAAACCTAAGCATGGACTCCCCAACTCCTTTAACCCACTATTAGTGAGAGTGGATTCACACTTGAGATTTGAAGAGCAGCCTACAGAACTCTGGATTCATTTCCCAGTAATTCGTCTCCTACAGTCACTTCTCCTAGTTGATGTCATTTTAAGTTTCAGGGATAAAACTCTGGCCAAAATTCCCAATATGCTAGTAGATTTTGATACATATACTGTGGTTCTTAGATTCTCAAGAAAGCATAAAAAGAAGCCTCTTTTTCTATGTATAGAGTCTATTTCTATGTATTTTAGTTGAACTTTGGGTATCTTTCTAGGATTTGTTTTTGTCCTGAGTTCAAACTCAGGACCTTGTGCTTGCTAGGCTGACACTCTACCACTTGAGACCCACTTCAAGCTAGCTTTTTACTGGTCTCACTGATTCTGCGAAGGCTTGGCTTTGAACCATGATCTTCCAGCCTCCTAAGAAGCTAGGATTACAAGGGTGAGCCACTGATGCCCCATAGACTGTTTATTATATTAAAAAATGCTTCTAAAGTAAACATTGCTAATTTTGACTGACACTTCATCCCGTTGTTTGCTGAAATGCTTTCCACTCCCCCTCAAACAAAACTTGGATGAAATTCTCAGACAAGTTTGAGCAAGAGGGAAGCTGAGACCCAGCAGTTTAGTAAAACTATATGTCCCAGTTTATCTGGGATTCTAGGGTTCGAGAAGACAGTTCCTCCCCCCGCCAAAAAAAAAAAAACATTAAAAATTCAAGCCAGGCACCAGTGGCTCACACTTATAAACTTAGCTTTTCAGGAGGCTGAGATCTGAGGATCACAGTTCCAAGCCAGCCGGGGCAGAAAGTCCCTGTGAGACTCTTACCTCCAATTAACCACTCAAAAAAAAAAAAAAAAAGGAAGTGTCACTGGGACTCAAAATGGTAGGGCACGAGCCCTGAGCGAAAGAGCTCAGAGATAAGAGCCAGGCACTGAGTTCAAGCCCCATAACCAAAACAAAAGAATAAAAATTGAAGAAATAGTTCAGGTTTTAAGGTCATTTGTGTGTGTGTGTGTGTGTGTGTGTGTGTGTGTGTGTGTGTGTGTGTGTGTGTGTGTGTGTGTGTTCTGTCTGAACACACATCTGCTATTACTAGAATCTGTTCTTTTCTGGAGGAAACTCAAAAAGAAGTTCACTAAAGTTGTTTATGAGAACAGTTCCAGCTGCTGGGGCAGAAGTAACCTCCTCAGTAGAATCTTGCATTGAGCTGTACAGAGAAACGTGAACACAGGAAGTGGTTTTAGTGTGACCTGGGATAGAGTACATGTCAGCAAAGACCTTGTCCTCTAGGGCTTTGTTCTATCATACAGATGATGATGGATTATGTCAGCCATCTGATACACTGGGTTCCTAAAAAGTAAGTTCTCATTACCTCTGGGGCTTATCTTTCTAATTAGAAAGATCTACACATTCCTGATTTTTCCAAAGCACTAATCGCTTGACCATTTCCAGCTGCTATGGCATTCCTAGGCAAAAAGTCAAAAAGATAAAAATCAGGTAAAGTTATATTCTTGAGCAAACCAAATTTGGAGTAGAATTTCTCTCTCTCTCTCTCTTTCACACACACACACACATAAAGGAGTCCTTGTGTCAGGTATGGACATTCCTCTAAAATAGTGTGTGTTATCCAAATGGGCAATTAGAAAGAATGAATTTCTTGCTCAGAATTTTTTTTGTTTTTTTTTTCTTTTTTGTGGTTGTTGGGCTTGAACTTGGCTTGGGCGCTCTCTCTCAGCTCTTCAGCTCAAGGCAAGTGCTCTACCACTTGAGCCACAGCACCACTTCTGATTTTCTAGTGTTTTATTGGAGATAAGAGTCTCATGGACAGAGTGCAAGGTTAGATTGGACCTTGTAATAGATTCAAGGCCAGATTCTGCAGTGTGAGACACTATCTCAAAAACAAAGACTGTGATTTGAGAGAGGGCGTGTCTCATGAGGTAGGGCTGCTCGTTTAGCATGCTTGAGGCCCTTGGTTCAAACCCCTGTACTGCAGAACAAAAAACAAAAACAAATCATTTATGTTTTCTTTGGTACTCGTTATGTATACTACCATTGTTTGTTTCCCATAAAATGTTTCCCTTAATCAAATAATAAAACCAAATAAAATAAAAACAAAAAAAAAAAGATTCTCATGGATTTTCTTGCTGGGGCTGGCTTTGAACCGCCATCCTCAGATCTCAATCTCCTGAGTAGCTAGGATTACAGGCGTGAGCCACTGGCGCCTGGCTTCAGGTTCTTTTCAGTTGAAATAGAAGGTCATTCCCTGGTACTTTGTAGAAATGATTCCGTACACAAAAGAGCAAGAACAAACAATGTATGTTGTGAAGGATTAATAAGATTACCACCAAAAAAACATGTTTCCCTTGAATCTGATAAAAAAAAAAAAAGGATATGACATTCCAAATATGCTATGGCTTTAACAATGGAGAAAATGTAAAAACAAAATGGCAGCAGGCCTTAAGTCGTTACTGGATGGATGCACAGGTGTGGGCAGATTTCACACTGCTTTGCCCTATGTAAAACTATGAGAGAAGGATTGGGATCACCCACAAGAGGGCACTCAGTTTGAGGTGTGGGCACCCTATATGAAACGTGTGCTCCCTGTATGAAATAGCAGTGTACTGTATAAACTCAGGTGACTAAGGATAGGCATGGGACATATTGGCATTCGGACTTCATCCTCTATAAGCCATTGTTTCCACCCTAACTTGATTTGAGGATTGTATAAAGTAGACATGACTATGGGAAAAAAAGAGAAACATCCAAGGGTCCCATTCTACATCACAAAACAACTCAGCAGGTAATAACCTGTGTGTCTTACTGTTCAGAAACCACTGCTCAAGAAAAAGGGGGGGGGGACATTTCCCAGGCCCTGAATTCCACCCCCACCCCCGAAATAAGAGCACTGGCCTATATCTGCACTCAAGATACAACTATCAGATAGTGCCTGGTGCACACACACACACAAATACACATGTATACACAGGCCCCACGCTTGACAAATAGAGGAAATATAAATGGAAAGAATAAGGAGATAAAGGAACTAATTTCAAATACAAAGTTCAGACACACACACACTCTACCCAGCTAGTAAGCATTAAATTAGACTAACACAATTTACATATGCCCTGCAAGAAATCTGAAAGGAGTAGCCTCTCGGCATACCACACAGTCTCTATTTTACAAACTTCACTGTTTCTTGTGATTAAAGGAGGATTGTTAGAAACCAAAATCTAGATTTAAAAACAAAACAGACAAAAAATAAAAACACCTGAGACTTGTTCTAATCACTAGGACCTGGCTCTATGCCTTTTCATAAACTCGGTGCAATAAGGATTGGAGTTGTAGCTGTAGGCACTTCAAACAGGAAGCCCAGAAAACCCAGCAGATTACTGACCCATCAGATGTAACACATTTGCTATGCAGTGTTCCCCCTGATCTCATTAAATAAATCTTGTGTTGTAGCCAAAGCATATGAAAACGCTGTATACCATAATCTGCTCTTTAATCAATGGTCCCTACCTTACACTGAGCAGATAACAGAAGGAAATTCCAGATGACATATGGAAAGAGTTAAAAACACTGATTCAGGTTTAAAATAACCACCACCCCCTAACTAAAAGCTCAACATTATTAAACACAGCCACTATTTGCCAACAGAACTCCCATTTTTAGTGTGCAGCAATCATGTAGGAAGACCTACTATGTACCAAGTTACATTGTAGACACCTGATGTATAAACACCAATGAGACAGATACTAAGTCTAGGCAACATCTAAGAGGAACTGGCCAAGGGAGGAAAAGCAAATCCAACCTGCTCCCACACCTCACTCCACACCAAACCAAAAAAAACCAAAATGCCTTCAGCAGAGCCCAAAATCATATCGAAGTTTTCAAACTAAGTGAACTTTTTTGAGCTATCTTCCTACTTCAGTTCTTCAGTCCTTGAACCCCCACACCCCAAGACAATAACTTAGCTAAATTGAAAGGCCAGGAGTCTTGAATAAGTGGAGGAAAATCTAAACAAAACATGCTGATGACTTTGTCTAAGCCCTAAGCCCCTAAACAGACTTTTTCAAAAGGGTCTCTTCTTTTGTGTCTTATTCTTCTCCTCTAGTAAGTGAAAAGGAACACATTTTCAGTCTTTCCTTTTGTAAACATATTTACTCTTCCCTGCCTCCCTTTCATCCTGACCTCAATAATCACCAAAGTTGGTTTTGAATTTCACACTTAATAAAATACTTGCATAATAACTTGCAGATTATTTGTGCAATGATCTTCACTTTACAACGGAATAAAATGAGGGTCTAACAGGAGAAACAATTTCTAAAAAGCCAAACCTTTAACCGAAAAGCTGGAACTAGAATCCGAGTCTTCATAGCCAAATTCAAATCTTCTGTGACACTGTCCTGACTTCTACTGATTTGTATTGCCATGTCTCAAGACCTTCTTTCTTTTTCCACCTCTCTCTCTTTCTCTGTCTCTCTTATTACAATGTTATAACAAGTCTCCCTCTTATAGAAGAATATAAAATAAGAGCCCTTACAGCTCCTGCTGGAGAGTTTTAAATTTTAAGTCACTCCAGAAAAAGACATGAAAACACATATGCAAAGATTTTTCTATTTACAACCTCCTTAATACACCCTTATCTGTTTTGCCATTCCCCTTCAGATCTCTCCAACACAGCTACAAATGACTCATCTCCTAAAACTCTCTTTGATCATGTTTCAAGGTTCAAAAACCTTTGGTGTCTCTCACTACTTAGAGAGTAGAACAGAAATCCACAGCTCCAGCATTCCGGGCCTGACTTAATTCTTCTAAGTCTACTACACAAATCCTAGATTTGATAACCCAACAAATAATACTGCTCTCCTTCAAAGGAGGCTCATCCCTTCTGCGCACTGCCCTCTCAAACAGCCATTCTCTGCCTAAACCGACTGCATTGCAAATCTCTTCCCCACACTTGTAATCTAGCTCATCTTTGTCCTAGTGTTAAAGAAACAATAACCACACACAAAAAAAAGAAATAAGCCTCCTCAAAAGTTTATGTTACAAAGCATCCCACCTCTCTCTAACATTGGCAGTATTTGAAGCAACAGGCAATTGCCACTAAATCTCCTTCTGCTTGCACTTTGAGGTGCGCCATATTGTTTCTTGGTGGCATGGCACTCAGAACCAAGCATGGTTCTCTCTGATCAACTGAGTGTACTTTCAGCCAGGGGATGGTGGCTCACACCTGTAATCCTAGTTGCTCAGGAGGCTGAAATCTAAGGATCGCGGTTCAAAATCAGCCCAGACAGGAAAGTCGGTGAGACTCTTAGCTCACCAGAAAACCAGAAGTGGGGCTGTGGCTCAAGGGGTAGAGCACTAAAAAACAAAGTGAGTGAGTGCCTGACACTAGCCTGAGCATAGGAAGACAGGACAGCAGATTCTTCACTGCTTTTTCTGGACACTGTGCTATCATTCATTGTTAGCTAAGACTGAATTAATGTGGTGGGAAACCACATGATGCAAGTGGTGCGAAATAAAATGGTGGGCCACTAAAAATCTATGAACCTTTCTCACATGTGCTCTGTGTAAGCCTCCTTTCCTGGAATTAAAGACAGCAGTTTGCTTTATCTTTCTGCTGTCTTACTAGAATCAGCCTGTCTTTTGCTATCATGGTCTCAGCTCAGTTCTTAAGAGAAGCCCTAACCATAACTCCCATCCCTCCAAAAATCTACCTTCTCTTCTCCCTAGATCCAGAGTTCCTTTTGCAACTAGGGTAACAAGTGGCTTCCCAGGAGAGGTGTGTGTGTGGGGGGGGGGGGGTTGGGGATGGGGGGGGTTGTCCTTTAGATGTCATCTCCCTCACTTCCCCCAAGTGTTGTCTAGCAGCACGGGGCTGGACAATCCCAGGAGTCCACGCTGATGGTGACATGGGAAGGTGGACACGTACCTCTTGAAACAGTGTGCCGCAGTCAGCACCCAGCAGCTACTCAGCAGCGTGGCTCCGCAAAGGAGCCGGCCATCTCCGTGCCATGACTTCAGCCGGAGGGCCACCTGCCAAGGCCAGCCTCCCCTGCAAAGAAAGCAAGCTGCATATCCATGAAAGGAACACAAAGTAAAGACAAACACCGGTGAGAACAATGACTTTCAGGACTTGTGGATGGTGAGAGGCTCAAAGGTATTCCATGACTGAAGGGCCCTTCCTACATTCGACTTTGAACACATCCCACACGAGCAACTCTAAAGACGAGCTTGTAGGCCTTTACAGGCATCACCACAGCAATCTCTGACATATTTAGAAATGAGCCGAGTCTTCTCCATTTTGTGTGATTTGAGTGGGATTTGTCTCCGTATCCACTAACCTGAAGAAGTCACTGGGATGGCTCATTTCTGTCACCCTAGCTATTCAGGAGGCTGAGATCTGACAATCAACATTCAAAACCAGCTCAGGAAAGAAAGTCTGTAAGACTCTTTTCTCCAATTAGCCACCCAAAAAAAAAAGGGCCAAAAGTAGAACTGTGGCTTAAGTCATAGAGCCCCAGCCATGAGTGTAAAAAAGCAAAGGAACAGCAAGTGCCCAGACCCCAATACCAATAAATAAGTGCCCCAAAAGGTATTGAGTAAACAAAGTGCCAGCTTCCTATTAGTAAATTCAAATAAAACATTCTATTACAATGAGTCAAATCAAAAATATATATATTCAAGCCGGGCACTGGTGGCTCATACCTGTAACCCTAGCTACTCAGGAGGCTGAGATCTGAGGATCACGGTTCAAAGCCAGCCCAGGCAGGAAAATATGTGAAACTCTTATCTCCAATAAACCACCAGAAAACCAGAAGCGGCGCTGTAGCTCAATTGGAAGAGCACTAGACTTGAGCTGAAGAGCTGAGGGACAGCACCCAGGCTCAGAGTTCAAGCCTCACGACCGACAAAAAAAAAAAAAGTATATATTCTAGACTAAATGGGTCTGTACAATTATACATTTTTGAGGTCTCCTGTTAAAATTATTTTGTCCCTGCCACATCATATTTAGCTCATCTAATGGGCTAGAGCCATAAAACTATGATCTATGTAAAATAAATGGAGGTTAAAAAAAACCCATGATATTATCACTGTGATCTGTATTTGATTTAGGAAATGAAATAGATTAAACAAATTACTTATGTAATAACAGGCTATGCCAAGTGTGCAGCATTATATGGATACAAATAACAATCCAATGGAAAAATTACTTTGCAATAAATTTTACCTTAAGGAATTTTTCCCACCAATGATCCGCTTCTGTCGATGGTGCAATAATCGCAACCCACAAACAGAGGACGAGGTGTCTGAAGCAGAAATGAGTGAGGCATGTCACACTGTCAATAGAGGACTAAACACATGAGAGACAACTATCTTCTGATGAGCTCCTCCATATTTTAAATGCCCATTCTTTTCATAGGACAGGATCATTTTTTTTACAATTAAAAATAACTTTTTCATTGAACTTTTTATTGAGGTAATAATGGTACAAGCAGATGACAAACTGTATGGAGCATTCCATCACTCAACTCAGAAGGATTTCATGGGCTGCTGAATGGTTTGACCCTGTGCAGTCTCTGGTAGCTACCCAGGCCTCCTTCTGCTGGTTATAAAAGTTGTTCTGCCATTCAAGAAATGTTAAGACAGAGAATCGCAAAGATAGTAGTGGTCTAGATCACTTCTTAGCTACAACCTTCTTCAAGCCATAGATAAAAGTGTAACTCAGAGGAACAAAGCACACGCACTTCTCAAAATAGAATTTTGATCTGAATTTACATTTACTTGCTCATATACTATAGCAACATACAAAAGCCAGCATCCCAAGATCACAGATTTCTGTCAAGGATATACATAAAAAAGTTATATTAAAAAATATATAAAGAGGGGGCTGAGGGAGGGCATTACTCAAGTGGTAAGAGTGCTTGCTTAGCATGTGCAAGGCTTGGTGTTTGATTTCTTGGATTCAGTCCTCAGCAACACACACACACACACACTCACATGCATGCACATACATACACGTATTATATATAATGTGCATATGAGTATCATATATACTATAGTATTTATAATGTATATATATGTCATGTATAATACATGCATTATATATGCTATAGAATAACAATGCATAGTGACATACATTATATTACATATCAGGTATACATGCATATGTCATATATATGAAGAGATGATATACAAAAGATGGGTAAATATACAAAATAGATTTTATATAGGGATAGTTTTTTTGCCTAAATATATATGCACAAAATGTTTGCTGTCTGTATAAGAAGGGAATTGTGCCAAATGTATGAAGACTGAATCCTCATAACTAAGTTGAAAGGAATCAACTTCTTTCCTTCTTTCCTTCCTTCCTTCCTTCCTACCTTCTTTCCTTCTTCCCTCCTTCTTTCCTTCCTTCCTTTCACTAGGGTTTGAACTCAGAATCTCAAAGTTGCTACACAGGGACTTTACCACTTGAGCCACTTCAATAGCCCCAAAGTAGTTAGTTCTTGACAGAGAAAGTATTTCAACAATGTGTTAATTTGCCAAATGATCTCAGAAGTATAGTGTCCAAAGCTGAACTTTCATCACTTAGGATATGAGTCATCTAGGTGACACTGCAAATTATAAGCTATTAGAAAAACAAAAATTTCCAACCATATCCAAATCATGTCAATGTATATAATTGCCAAGAAAAGGACTGATATAATACTGAGAAAGCAAAACTTAAAGTTTACATCATTCTGGGACAAAGAGTTCCTAATCACAGGGAAGAGAAATCTCTTAAAGCTATACACTGGAATAAAATATTTAATAAGCCAGACGAAGGTCTTTTGGGAAAGGATCATGAAAACAATGAGTTTACATCTGTTCATTTTATACAAGTCACCAACTCTTGAATAACATAAGACTATTTTGTTGGTAAACCATATTTAGTTTTGTAACTAGCCTGAGATGACACCTTTTTGTTGAGGTATGGTAGCATTGCAAGCCATGAAAAATATCAAGATAAGGTGTAGTTCAGTAAAGGTATGAAGAAATAGTAAAACAAATCCAGATATCTCATATTTTATGCTTTTCAGCTGCTTAAGAAATGTGACTGAATCTAAAGAATCAGCTACAATTAATTCATAAGTATAATGTAAATTATTAAAAGAAATTTATTTAATTGTCATCAGCATTCAGGGGAAATTGGGTTACTACCTTGTTTTTCCACATTTAGAGGCTCTCTGATATGAAGAATCCTATAATCAATATTCAAATAATTTATTACATTGTCTTTGACAGTAATTATAAGGTGTTGAAAACAAAAGAAGAGAGCCTGGCATGGTGGAACTGTATTCCCTGCACTTAGACTGGGGAAAGGAGGATCTAAAGTTGGAGGACACTTTGGGCTACGTAGTGAATTCTAGGCCCCCTGGGTGTTCAGAGCAAGTCCCTGTCTCATTATCTGAAAGGATGAGGAGGAGAAGCTGGGGGGTGGGGGGTAAGAAGTGGAGGTGGGAGAGAGCAGAGACACAAACACCGACAGAAGCAAGAGACATAGAAACAAAGACAGAGAATGCTCAGGTGCAACACATGCATTCAATTATGGACTTTCAGGCTGGGCACCAGTGGCTCACATCTGTAATCCTAGCTATTCAGGAGGCTGAGATTTGATGAACCAGGTTTTAAGCCAGCTCAGGAAGACAAATACAGGAGACTCTTATGTCCAGTTAACCACCCAAAAAAAGCTAGAAATGGAGGTGTGGTTCAATTGGTAGAGGGCCAGTTTTGAGCAACGAAAGCTAAGCGAAAAGCATGAATTTCAAGCCCCAGTACTGAGACTATAGATTTTCAATCTGGATCAAGAGATAACTAGTTGTTCTTTTCATAAAGCATAACTATAGACTATTCTAAAGTAACTAATTCCACCACTCATTCATTCAAAGCAATATCTACTTCATAACACTTGAATTTCCTCAGAGAACTCTAAGGAATACCAACTTATTAAACTGTACAAAGAGTCTACTATATTCTCTCTTGCCTTAAGTTACACATTTCAGAGAATAAAAGCTTACAAAAGGTAATTTTTAGTTTTGAAATATATTTATTCTTGCTTGTTTAAAACATCAGGAACTGGGTGAAGAAGTGCCTGATTTTTTGGAGACATCCCTGTTTGCATTTCTTTGCTTTTTGTAAAGTAGATGGCAATTCTGAATTGTCGAGCCTGACAGCTCTATGATACTCAAAGTAGAAACACACTGAAAGGACAAAGAATGTAAAAGGATCTCAGAGATGACAAGGTCCTAGAAAGACATCAACCAAGAACTTTGCCATCCTGGTCAGCCTCAAGTAAGCACATTTTCCCAAGAACCTAGCACTGGTTCTAAACATTGGCACAAGTAACACTGTATACATTCTCTTTGCACGGGATTTTCATGACCAGGGCACCATGTGTGGGAATGAATGAAGTGGGAATGAGTAGTCTTTTATGTGTTCAGGGCCTGTGAAGGAGACTTACCTTTATTACTGTTTCCTGATGCTTTCTTGCCAAAATAATCACAAATAACTCCTGCATCTTCACTATGGCGGCAGTTATGTCTTCCAATCTCTTGTTTGATGCAATCGGCCAGAGACCTCTCGTTCCCTGTGCACTTCACATTGTCCATGTGGATGGGGCCTTTTCCTTCCCCAAAATAAGCCATGGTTCTTGCTCTGGCAGGGCCCCTGGAAGCAAAGCATTCTTTAGGGATGTAGAGACTCAGTCAAGCACCCCTGCAACTAGAGCACAGAGATCCTCTCGCCTGCTCATTAACGTTGACATAGTAAAATTAGCCTGTACATGTCCAGAAGACCCTTTATTTTTCCATGACTGTCCATAAATTGAAATAAGAACTGTACCCTCTTCAGTGTCATGCCCCATAGATGTTTCCTGTCATTTAACTTTTGCTTAGAAAGTCACACTAAATGGCATTTCAAAAGAAGAAAGAAAGCTAGTTTTAAACTCTAAACTGGAGGGGGGGAATAAAAACAATTTTCAACCCTCTTAAGGTATAATAGTAAGCCAGACGTTGGGGGCTCACACCTGTAATCCTAGCTACTCAGGAAGCTAAGATCTGATGTTCAAAGCCAGCCCAAGCAAAAAGTTCATAGGATTCTTATCTCCAATTAATCACCCCTTCCCCCCTCCCCAAAAATAGCCAGAAGTGGAGCTCAAGTGGTAGAGTGCTTTTGTACCTTGAGCACAAAAGCTCAGAGACAACACCTTAGGCACTAGTTCAAGCCCCAGGACTGGCAAACACACACACACGCGTGCACACACACACACACACACACACACACACACACACACACACGCTAGAATATTACCAAGGAAATTTTGATATTAAATAATTCTCAGAGTCTTAAGAACTGATTCTTTGCATCCTTTAGAAGCAAAGGTACAATTCTTAATAGAGAACACAGGAATTAAGAATAGAAGGCAGACTTACTTTTGACATATTTCTCTTTTTCTTTCTACTAGCACACTACTTTTTTTAATGTGCAAATTAGTAGGGCACTCAAATTAGTGACTCAAATCTGTAACCGTAGCCACTGGGGAGCTGGAGATTGGAGAATCATGTTTCAAAGCCAGTATGGGCATAAACATTCATGAGACTCTGTGTCAACCCCATGGCTTAGCACAGCAGTGTACCCCTGTCATCCCTAGCAACATGGAAAAGCACAATGGAGGATTACAGTCCAGGTGAACCTACCATAAACAAAGTGAGACCCTACCTCGAAAATAACCAGCCAACACTAAAAGGTGCTGGTGTGACTCAAGTGGTACAGTAACTGCTGAGCAAATTGCCAGTCCTCACATTTAATCCCCATTGTACCATTACACAGAAACAATGTATATACAAATTCAAAAACTTTTAATGCAATAAAATATTTCAACCAACCTCAAATTTAAAACTCTACTCCTAATAAATTAACAAATGTAATTATGAAAGACAAAAGCTTCAAAATTTGAGTTATAGGGGCTGGGTGCACACAGCTCAAGTGCTAGAGCACTTGCCTAACATGCACGAAGCCCTGGGTTCAATCCTTAGCACCATCCAAAAACGTACATATATGTATATGTGTATACATGCATATATGTACACATGCCTACATATATATATTTACAATATTTGAAGAGTAGAAAATTATCCTACTGTTCAAGTATTTATTAAAGAGGGTAAAAACTATAAACAAAAAGAAAAATTCAATAAATATTAAATGAAGAACATCACTTTACTAAAAATCACCCTAAGGTACAACCAAAAGATGGTTGTATAAGTATTTACAAGGCTGAAGGTGTGGCTCAAGTACTAGAACTCCATCTGTGAAGAAAGTAAACAGCTGAACAATAGCAGTAGGCCCGATTTCAAGTCCCAATATCGATATACACACACAAAATTTACAAATATATTCATTGGTAAGTATTTTCTAATACACAAAATGGCATATATTATATAATTAATATTCAGATTTGTGTGTGTGCGTGTGTGTACACACATGCTAGTTCTAAGGCTTGAACTCAGGGCCCAGACACTGTCCCTGAGGTTTTTGCTCAAGGCTAGCACTCTATTACGCTGAGCCACAAAATCTACTTCTGAGTTTTTTGGTGCTAACTGGAGATAAAAGGCTCACAAACTTTCCTGTCTGGGCTGACTTTGAACTGTGATCCTCAGATCTCATCCTTCTCAGTAGCTAGGATTGCAGGGATAGCAAGTGTGAGCCATACCAGTGCCTGGCTCCCAGAAATAATACAAGAATAAAACGTACCAGACAGATACAACAACTTTGTATTTTATACCAAAGGAAATATCAATGGCCAAGAAACAAATGGAAGCATGTCGATCATTAGTAAGCAGGAAGATGTACTAAGTAAAACACTACCCCAGCTGCCCACGGATTAAATCTGTTTGTAAATTAAACAGAGTTTGTTATATAAGGAAGTGAAAAGTAATCTTACATCCCTTGATAAAACCAAGGCAACACAATGCCTACAAGCCAGAAGTTCTACTCTTAATTATATCTTTGAAAAAAATACTTTTAAGAATACCATCAGAAAATCCTAAGAATGTTCTTAGCAGTCGTGATATTTTTAATTAATTTTTTTTTGGGTCTGGTCATGGGGCCTGAACTCTGGGCCTGGGCGCTGTCCCTCAGCTCTTCAGCTCAAGGCTAGCGCTCTACCACTTGAGCCATAACGCCACTTCCGGCTTTTTTCTTTTTGCTTATGTAGTACTGAGGAATTGAACCCAGGGCCTCATGCATGCAAGGCAAGCCCTCTACCACTGAGCCACCTTCCCAGCCCCAGCAGTCATGATATTTTTAAAAGCAAAACTAGAAATGATGTTATGATGATTTGAATGCCCTCCTCAAAACTCATGTTCAAGTTTAATAGGATTGTCTAAGATTGGGACCAGATGGGGCTTTCAAAGAATGAGACAGAGCCTCATGAATGGGTGCATCCATCCATGGATTAGTAGATCCGAGCATTCATGGATGATCTCAATACTGATCTGGTCCACTAGAAAAGCCAGTTCAGTTTGGTCCCTTGTCGGTACCCTTCTCATCATTTGCTGCCGTGAGCCACCTTGGAATGCCAATCTCAAAAGATCAGCTCATAGACCTAGAGGTTGGAAGGTAAACAGCCTTGTTTAAGGATTGTTAACTTAATTTTTTTCTGTTATCTTTAAGGATTTCGACATGTCAGCTGATGAATATGAGCCATCATGACTAGTGTCACCTTGTCTTGCAGTATTCAGTTAAAGCAATGGGAAATGAATTAATAAAGATAAACAACCCAGCATCAACACCATAAATAAATAAATTGGATAGTTAACACAATTTAATACTATAGAGAAAAATGCATATGAGTGGATTATAGTCACTCGGATCAACAGAGATAAATCTCAAAAGTAAATCTAAGAATAGTGATAAGAAAGTGAAGGACCTAAAGTAGTATTGTTTAACTTTCAAAAAACAGATTGTTTTTAATAGATAAAGCTATGGCTTAAGGATGTCACTAGTTTTAAGGTTATGAAGATGCAACGAAATGACACTGACATTTGAGACAGTGGTCACTTTGGGATGGTAAAGTAAGAATGTCGGATTGGCCCACAAGGAGCTTAAAAGTACAATAACATTCTTTTTTCCAAGCTTGGTTATAGAAACCAAGGTTTGTGTAATGTCCTCCAGACTGTGTATATATGTGTCTGTGTGTGTGTGCACATACACAAATACGCACAGACACATATACGCACATACATATGCATGTTCTGCTAAGGAAGAAAATTTTAAATTTCAAAGATGAAATAACTACACTTTCTATAGGTCTAAGAAGTATTTTCTCTTCATATATTTTTAATAGATGACAAGATCAAATCTACTTATAAAAATGATTTAACTTTTTTTTTGTCAGTCGTGGGGCTTGAACTTAGGGCCTAGGCTCTGTCCCTGAGCTCTTTCAATCAAGGCTAATGCTCTACCACTTTGAACAACAGCACCACTTCTGGTTTTTGAGTGGTTAAGTGGAGATAAGAGTCTCACAGGCTTTTCTGCCTGGGCTGGCTTTGAACCATGATTCTCAGATCTCAGCCTCCTTAGTAGCTAGGATTACAGGAATGAGCCACTAACACCAGCTCTGATTTAACTTTTAAATGTCATATACAAAATATGAAACTTAACTCTTTGCAAGTACTTCAACGTAAACACAAATTAGATATACTTTAATTTTGATTGTTAATAAAACAGTGTTATACCAATTTTTAAAAGAAATTATTTAAACCAGACACTGGTGGCTCACGTCTATAATCCTAGCAATTCATGAGGCTGAGATCTGAGGATTGCAGTTGGAACCTAGCCTGGGCACAAAAATATATGAGACTCTGATCTCCAATTAGTTACCAAAAATGGTGGTTAACTGAAGATCAGAATATCACAGACTTTACTGCCTAGGCTAGCTTTGGATTGTGATCCTCAGATTTCAATTTTCTGGGTAGCTAGGATTATAGGCATGAGCCACCACTGTCTGTCTTATTAGACTCTTACTAGATTTTTTTTAAGCTTTTTATGTGCTATACTATATATTTCAAGAGGGGAAAAAAGAAAAGTTTAGCAAGATACTATTTGTTACTTCTTTATAATTCTGAATTAAGTCAATAAGCTGACTACATTTTCAACTGAGAGGTATTATTAGATTTAGGGAGCTAGGGGCATGGTTCAAGGCGCTGCATTTGAACACCAGAGCTGTCTCTAAAAAAAGAGGCACTAATGAGAACAAACCTCAAAACAAATTGGAAATGTTCAGCAAGAAACCAATCCAAATAATGAGCGTCCTTACTTATAGCCAAGCTGCCGGCAGATCACAGTGGCGTCCTTGTCCATCCATCCATCATCACAGATTGTTCCCCACTGGCCATTGATAAAGACCTCCACTCGTCCTTCTTTCTTATTTTCTCCATCCATCAGTCTGATAGGAAAACCTAACCATGATTCAAAAGTATTAGAAAAGCCAAACCAGCAAACTTACACTAAGGCATGAGACTTTACAGAACACATTTTTTTTTAAAGATCAGATATAAAATCAATTGGGCAATTTGTTTGAGGGAGAAAAGGAAGAGATATCAATAAAACCCTATATCTACATCTATGTATTTTGAAATACCAACGTCAAAGTGCTCACATTGCTCAACCTTGTATCCCCAACATTCAGAACTTTGCCTGGTATCTATAGAAAAACCAATCGCTGTTCATTAAATGAATGAAAGGCTCTATAGAAGTGAGAGGGTTTTTTAAATTACAACTAATTTCTAAATATTAAAAGAACATGAATCTAGACTTGTGTTTACTTATCTTTAAAAAAAATCTATGAACCAAGCCAGGCATCAGTGGTACATCCTATAATCCTGGCTACTCAGGAGGCTGATATTTGAAGTTTGAAGCCAATATTGGGCAGAGAAATTTGAGAGACTCCTAACTCCAACTAGCCAGCAAACAGCCCAAAGTGAAGGTCTGACTTACATGGTAGCCTTGAGCATAAAAGCTATTTAAGAGCATAAGGCCACGAGTTCAAGCTCCAGGGCTAGCATCAATCAATCAACAAATAAATAAATGTGAGAAGATGATTCAATCCTGAGGTTAAAGTCAAGGCCTACCTATGTCTATTTTAACATCTATTCACACACGCAGGGATGTATACCATAGTTGCACAGACTTTTCTTCCCAACTTCAAACCACAATCCTCCAAATCTCAGCCTCCTGCGTATCTAGGATTACAGGCATGAGCACCTGACTTCCCTCTATATTTTTCATTCATGTTTATTCTGCCCTTTTCACCAGACATTGAGAATTTGTCTAGAATGCTTAATTGTTGTTTGAAGATATTTATCTAAATTATTTCAGGACTGTGAGAGAACCTAGTTACCTGTTATCCAAACAGGAGACTGAAAAAATATATATAATTGGGGAACAGGAAAGATACCTGATAGGGAACTTTCTAGAAAATTGTATTTTAGAAAGGTGGGAAAGAGGGTCTATTAAATGAGTCCACTTAGAACACCACTTAGATCGCTGAAGAAGCAACAGATAGCTAGTGACAAAGCACTGAACAGGATGGGGGAAGGGAACAATCTTGTTTTTACATAAAATCATGTCCTAGCCTCTTGTCTGTAATCCTCGCCACCCAGGAGACTAAGATTTGAGGCTCGTAGTTTGAAGCCAGCCTGGGCAAACAAATCACCGAGACTCTTCTCTCCAATTTAACCGGTAAAAAGCTGAAAGTGGAGACATGGCGCAAAGTGGCAGGACTCTAGCCCTGAGTGAAAAAGTCCAGAGAGAGTGAGAGGCCAGGAGTTCAAGTCCCAGTTTTGGCAAAGACTTAGGACTCAAGATCAATGAATACTGAAATAAAGTGATGGAGGCATCGATGAATGGATAATTTTGGTTTTTCTACCTTTCAGACACATGCGATTATAAGCACATTCCATGAGAAAGAGTTCCATGTCACACACATGCAAAAATTGAGGAGAAACAAATTTTATCCGTGGAAAGACCCAAGGATTGTTTTTATTGGGAAACCCACTTGTAAGCAGAGTACCAATGATGAGACATGTTTCCTGTGCAGGCCGGTGGTTTGAGCTGGGGTAACTCTCAAGCGCAGCAGCAAATGCTCACCTTGGGAAAGTCTGCACATATCGCTGCCAAGGTAGCAGGCGATGCCCACGTCTTCTCGGTGGCTGCAGTCATGCCGGCCCCACGGCTTCCTAGGACACTGCAGGAAATGGCTTTCCTTCCCAGAGCAGCTGACATCATCCAGCCATATGGGCCCTGAGCTCTCTTCAATATGGTTTGCAGAGACTTGTTTGCCATATCTGTGGCAATGAAATAAACATTCTGCACACGACTGCTGCCTTACATTTCAGGGAACCATAAAACAAACAAGCTAATTAAGCGTCATGACTTCAGAGGGCAGGCATTTGGTCTTTCTCTTACCTTGGAGACTCAGAGTGGTGTTTGCTTTCATCATACGTTTTAATCCTCTTAATAATTTCTGATTGATTCCATAAGTAACTAACGGGGAATTTGTTCTTGTGTCTGTCTACAGTTTAACCTTCCAACCGAGGGGATTAACTTCCAATTCCCAATTTTGTGAGAATCCCTGGGAACTGTCTGTCTGATTTTGGCCTTTGCTGAGCTTTCTGAGCTCATGTGATTGTTATCCTATCCCCTACAGCTCTTTCGTATTCTCCTCTCCAAAATAAAATGCAGTGACTGCTCAAACCTGGTGCCCCACCCAGAATAAAGTTCTGATGTCAGCCCATGAAAATCATAATGATGCTTTACATGTAAGTTTAATTTTTATCAATTTTGACACTGGCATTCCAATTGACTTTCTAGTTTATATTATATCATACGTATTTGTAAGGAATTATATGCTATAAAATAGGAAATACCTGTAAAACTTCTCTCATCCTCCTTTCAATCTCCCTTTGGTTCCAAAAATATCCAAGTTTCCAGAAATCAGTGTGCTTAAACGATCTTTATGGTGTCATTGTGTTCTAAAAGTTGATGAAATTCAACTCTAATTCATAATAAGGTTTGTGTCAATCATTTTCTCACTTAATGTTTCTCATTTTTGACATTAAGAATATAAAAAGTGCCAGGCACTGGTGGCTCATGCTGTAACCCTAGCTACTCAGGAGGTTGAGGTCTGAGGATCATAGTTTGAAGCCAGCCTGGGCAGGAAAGTCTATGAGACTCTTATCTCCAATTACCTACCAGAAAGCTGGAAGTGGAGCTATAGCTCAAAATAGTAGAGCACTAGCTTTAAGCAGAAAAGCTCAGGGACAGTGCTCAGGCCCTGAGTTCAAGCCCATGACTGAGCCAAAAAGAAGGAGGAGGAGGAGGGGGGAAGAGGAGCAGGAGGAGGAAGAGAAGGAGGAGGAAGAAGGCTCTTTTAATTCACCATGAATTTCTCCAGTTGTTTAACTGTATTTAACCACCTGACATTTAAAAAAATTAAAACAATGCACTTTTTCATTTATCTTAATTTTCTTCCATCATCTTTCTAACTCATCAGTTGTAAATCTTGTATTGCTATCACTTTCAACTTACCCCTTCCTCCTAAAAACATGTGTCAGTCTGTCATTCTCAACATATATATATATATATATATATATATATATATATATATATATATATACATAACATACGTATACCAGCAAGTTGTTTTGTGCCAATGCTAAATCTTGAACTGGGAACCCTCATGTACTTGCATGGCCACTTGAGCCATACCTTCATTCCCAGCTTTTTGCTGGTTACTTAGAGATAAGAATCTCCTAAATTCATCTACTTGGGCTGGCTTTGGACAGCAATCTTACAATCTTAGCTTCTCTAGTAGGTAGGATTACAGGCATGAGTCACTGGTACCCAACTCCAGGAAGTTATTTTAGTTCAATATGTTACTACTATCAAGAAACACAAGGTTTTCTCTTTTCCTCATTCCAAATGAGTTTTCTTTCAAAAATTCCTCAGTAAACTACGTGTAGCACATGCTCACAGTAACACATTAAGAGATCACTTTTAGAACCAGTGAGTATTCTATCTATGAATGAAAGTAAAGCTGGATTGATTTACAAATGAAAGTAATAAAACATGGAGGAGAAAGTTACTATCACAATTCTTTAATGAGGAAAATGGTGAAAATGTATGAAAAACAATGGAGTTTATGAATCTCTCTGAATTTGTGAAAGCAGATCACAGTTTTCTGTGTAACAGATTCACAAACATAAAATGACATGTGCTAAGTAATTCCTAGTAATTGTCAGTAATTATTTGGCTGATACATCGTACCCTCTGACCTAATAATTTTATAAATGTCCTGTCTGGGTGCTGAGCCAAGCCTGTAATTCTAGCTACTCAGGAGACTGAGACCTGAGGGTCATAGGTCAAAGCCAGATATAGAAGGAAAGTGTGAGATTCTTATCTCCAATTAACCACCAAAAAGCCAGAAATGAAGCTATGGCTCAAATGGTAGAGCACTGGCCTTGAGCATAAAAGCCCAGGGATAGCACCCAGGCCCTTAGTTCAAGCCCAGTACTGGCAAAACAAAACAAAACTGCTCTGCCCAATAAATTTCAAAATATGGAGTAATTATACGTATTTATACCCTCATGAAGTATTGTTTACAACTAATCTAATATGAAATTAATATCTGCTTAAAATTAACTTGAATATTACATAAATTATGACATGACTATCATGACTATTTAGTGGATATGAGGTTAACATGAAAACTTGTGACTTATGTAGCCATATAAAGTAAAAAAATATGCAGACAAAACTCCAATGTTCACTGTTAGAGGAGATACAGTTTTATGTACAAGTTATATTAACAAGAGTATAAAAAGAAAAATTTGTATAGAATTTTATTTATTTCTTTTCCAAACTTCCTTTTATATTGTTTTTATAAGTTTATATATATTAATCTGTAATGTAAATATATATTTAAACAGTATTTTTTCTTCCTTTTCCAAACTTTCTCTTTTCTATTGTTTTTATAAATTAATATGCACATTAATTTATAATACATTGTTTATTTATATATTTTAACATGATTTATGCCAGCATACAGTTTTTAAGGTTTAGTGCACATTTGCAATTAGCTTCAGCTCAAGCTGAAAGGAAAGAATTTTGTCGATCATTTAAGCATGAAAACACCACTTCAAGCATGACAGAAATATGGAAAACAAAGAATGGTCATTCATGGGTTTTGTCCAAGTATTTGCTCAAAGGCATCATTACTGCAGCCATTACTGCAGCCAATATAAGTCCTCACACTAGAATGCATTGTGCATATGACACGACATGGAATACATGGCCCAAAGTGTGAAACTCAGCCAAGGCGAGTTTTAAAGGTCATCTCATGACAGAGTGCTGTTTTCCTCAAATAACAGTGATCATTATCACAGCATTCTGAGATGTCACTGGGCTGCACTGAAATGTTAGACACCATGATGTCAAAACTAACCACATCCAATGGTAGAGAATGTCTGAGGACATGATGCCTTCAGTATTACTTGCAGAGAATCAAAGGGATTTAGAAGTCACCACTGACTTCAACTGATTTGTTTAAGGAGAGAGGGGGCAGAAAAGTTGACTGATGTAAATGGCAAGGAATGGTTATTTGTCATCTTAGAAGTTGTTGTGTTTTATTGTTGTGTGCCCATCAGTAAGCAGGCAGACAGATGATAGATAGATAGACAGGCAGATAGATAGATTTCATAGATTGGATGGATGGATAGATGGACAGATGGATGGAAGATTGAGATATATATATATATATATATATATATGATAGAAAATAAATAATGGAATGGATAGAGGGAAGCAAAGAAAGAAAGAAAGAAAGGAGAAAAGATATATTTTTACTATGATAGAAATTACAAGTCGGGATTCCACAAGAAGACTTTTAAAGATACAACTTGGCATTGAGCTGCTTCATAGTGACAGGTCTTACTTAAATCCCAGCTGTCGGCAAGCCACATATGTGTTCGACTCCGTCCAGCCATCGTCACAGACGGTCCCCCACTGGCCCCTATAGTACACTTCCAGGCGGCCCTCATGGATTCCTTTCCCACCTGCAAGTCGGATGGCTCCATCTATGATAAGAAAGAGACACAGAGTCTAAGCAAATCAATTCTCCAAAGTGAAAAAGCAAAACAACCCTTAGATACTGCCAGAAATATCACCATAACTCAGGCCTCCCTCTATGTTCTTCATTAAGCGTACAGTCCCATTCCCTCAGTGGTGTCTGACGCCGTCACATCGCTTCTGACAACATCACGTTGTTTCTGATGTCTGACACAACACACATCTCTTCCTAGTAACAGCCCACCTGTTCTGTGAGTAGAAAAATAGTTCGAAGTGCATATTCTGATTTCTCTAGATGAAATACTGTTTGGGAAATTTTTGATGATCAAGTTGTGCTTATGCCTAACCAATACCATTTGCTGATATTTTAAAAGCCAGAGAACACTGTAACTTGGAATTAGTTCAAACTTTCAACTGCAAACCAAAAAATACAGAACGATGAAGACCGAAAAAATTATTCGGGAATAAGGAAAATTGTATCCTGTCCATAGCTTTATTATTCCATGTGCAGGCTCCTAAACTGGAGCTTGAACTCAGGGCCTCATGCTCTTGCTTGGTGTTTTCACTCAAGGCTGGTGATCAACCACGTGGGCCATACTGCTACTGGCATGTGGCTGGTTAATCAAAATTAAGAGTCTCTCAGATTTTTCTGCTGGGGCTGGCTTTGAACCTGGATCCTCTGGCCTCTTGCACGTGCTTCCCCTATCATGGGCCCAGAAACAACAGAGCTAAGGATTATGAACTAAAATCTCTGAAATGTAGAGCCAAAAGACAAAGTTTCCTCCTTGAAGCTCATGTAAGGTATTTTGTTACAGCAACTTAAAAACTAACACATTATAAATGGTAACCCCTCTGTACAACACCTTAATAATAGTTATTATTTTTAATAGCAATAATAGTTCTTAAAAATAACAAATTAGTTTTTAACACATCATAGAAACAATAGATTTATGACAAACCAAATTCTCCTCATTTCTGTTTTTTTCTTCTTCCCTCCAAACTCATAAGAATGTATGCCAAGGGCAACTCTACTCTGACACGACATTCTTATAACACATGACCTATTTGGACAGGCACACTGCCATGTGGCATACTCTGAAAAAGAGCTCACCCAAGTTAATCTGGTTTCTTTAGCCATGTGCTTTAAGCAACAATCACATCAGTACAGTTTTATATCAGCTAGAAATGTGCTCTGAGAGCCAAACTGGTGCATCAAGGAATAAACTAAAAACATGAATGAATGTCTGCAATTTATCACTGCACATTTATTTTGATTATTGGGTTTCTGTGATGCAACAAAGTTATATTTTTTTGACCTGGCCTTCTGAAACTTTAAATGGAAAATTTCAGAAATAAATAATGAGCTGGGCGTGAAGAGCACACCTCTGTAACTCTAGATATTCAGGAGGCTGAGATCTGAGGATCGTTGTTCAAAGCCAGGCCAGGCCAGGGCAGGAGAGTCCCTAAGACACTTCTCTCCAGTTAATCACTAGAAAAATGGAAGTGGAGCTGTGGCTCAAAGTGGTAAGGTACTAGCCTTGTGGAAAAAAAAATAGACAATGAATATAAAGATTGAATTTTAATGCATAGTTTGTATTATGTTCATTTAATAGTAATATTCAAATAAAGGAGTAAGGAAGCTGTGGGCTGCCAAGATGGTACTAGGGGTCAGGGTAAGCCTCTTACCAGTTAGAGGGGTACAGGACACCCCAGCATCTTCTTTATGGAGACAGTTATGCTCTCCCCAGGGGCTCTTTGGACACTGATCGATTGAAAATTCATTCCCAGTACATCGGACTTCATCCAACAATATTGGGCCAGACCCTTCCCCAAAAGATGCTTGGTTCCAGGCCTTGGCGATGCCACTGAGAAAACATAAGAACATAAGCATTCTGGGCTGGACAACAACACTTTCATGGCCTTTCTTTTGCCTATGGTTAAAGATTATCATCAGTTCACTGAATGGGTGATTATGATTTTCTGTATTTCGTTTTTCTGTTCATTTGTTGTATTTCTTTACATTTTCTATGATCACATCTATCTCAAAGACTGGTAGCTATTTTCATATATTTACCCTACTTTGCTTTTTGGAGGAGGGTGAGAAAATGGCTGTCCAAAATAAAGACCAGGCCCCTCTCCTTCTAGATGACTTTGTTCATTTCGTAACATCAGATCTATCTCTCCGTCTACTTTTAGTGTACAGGGCATCAATTATGCTGCGTAAGTGTAAGTACATCCATTCCAGAACTTTTGTCAGTATCCCCAATACAACACCAGCATGACTGAGTGCTACCAATGATAGTTGAAGAAGCATGTATCAATTACCATTTCTAGAAAGTGTCCTTGTCTTACACCCTTCTTCCTGCTCACTACAAAGCAAGGGTGATGGCTGGAGCTTGAGAAGTTACTGACCTTAGTCCCTAAGGTGCTATTTTAAGGATGACAGATGTGACTCAAGTGGTAGAGTGCCAGCCTTGAATAAAAAAGCCAAGCCAGCTGCTGGTGGTTCACACCTGTAATCCAAGTTACTCAGAAGACTGAGATCTGAGGATTGAGGTCTAAAGCTAGCCTGGGTAGGAAAGCTTGTAATATTCCTATCTCCAATTAACCACCAAAGAAGCCAGAAGTAGAACTCTGGCTCAAAGTTTAGATCACTAGCCTTAAGCAAGAAGAAGCTGAGGGACAGTACCCAAGTCCCTAGTTCAAGCCCCAGGACCAGCACAAACAAAAGCCAAGTGAAAGTGCAAGACCTTGAGTTTAAGCTACACTACTGGCAAATAAACAAACAAAAAAGGAAACTTTTTAAAAGAAAGAAAAAGGTTAACATTGGCCAGGTGCTGATGGCTTATGCCTGTAATTCTAGCTACTCCAGAAACTGAAATTTGAGAATTGCTGGTTCAAAGTCAATCTGGGAAAAAAAAACAAAAACAGAAACTAATGAGACTCTTACCTCTAATTAACCAGCAAAAAGCCAGAAGTAGAGATGTAGCTCAAGTAATATGGTGCTAACCTTGAGTGAAAGAAAGTTAAGCAAGAGTGCGAGGCCCTAAGTTCAAGCCCTAGTATGGGCACAAAAAATAATAATATATGAATAAAAGGATGTTAGAAAGGAAGAAAGAAAGGTCTAGAGCCTTGAAAAGTATACAACTCAGCAAATTAGCATTGTACCTGTCACCTCTGGTCTTTTCTTTCTTATCCTTTTTTTGGGGGGGGAGGGGCTGTGGTATTTGAACTCAGGAACTTACGTTTGTCAAGCTGGCACTCTACTGTTGTACCATGTCTCATGCCATACTTTTTGCTGGATATTTTTAGGATAAAGTCTTGCTTTCCTCCAGAACACGCTCGCCTGGACTGTGATCCTCTTACTTCTGTTACACTCCACCATATCCCCAAAGCTTCTCTGTGGAGCTGGAACTCTTACCAGGCTTCCCAGTTTAGGCTGACCTTGAACTGAGATCCTCCTGAGCTCTACCTCCAGATCACTAAGACTTACAGGTGTGAGCCACTGGCTTCTGACTCTTTTTTTTTTTTTTGTCAGTTATGAGGTTTGAACTCTGGGCCTGGGTGCTGCCCCTGAGCTCTTCAGCTCAAGGTGAGCACTCTACCACTTGAGTCACAGTACCACTTTCGGTTTTCTGGTGGTTTACTGGAGATGAGTCTCACGGGGCTGGGAAGGTGGCTCAGCGGTAGAGCGCTTGCCTTGCATGCATGAGGCCCTGGGTTCGATTCCTCAGCACCACATAAGTGAAAAGAAAAAAGCCGGAAGTGGCACTGTGGCTCAAGTGGTAGAGCGCTAGCCTTGAGCTGAAGAGCTGAGGGACAGCGCCCAGGCCCAGAGTTCAGGCCCCACAACCAGACTCCCCCCCCCCCAAAAAAAAGAGTCTCACGGACTTTCCTGCTCAGGCTGGCTTTGAATCACAATCCTCAGATCTCAACCTCCTGAGTAGCTAGAATTATAGGCGTGAGCCACCAGCACCTGGCTAGGGCTTCTGACTTTTGAAAGAGAAATAAACTTTAGCCTAATGTTGTTTAAGCTACTACTACAATTATGTCTTGGTGATAGACCGCTAAATTGATCCCTAAGGAAAACACCTTCAGCCAAATATAGTGGTAGAAAGTTTATTTTTCTCACAATTCAAAGTCCTATCAACCTTGAATCCAAGAGTTGGATAAAGATTGTGATAATCTGTCAAAATAACTAATGACTTTAGAAATTGCATTTTCACCTCCAGTTAGCCTTTTAATTTTTAGACTCGTATATGTTGTTTGCTAATAACATTGTCTCTAATCTCTATTGTTTTTGTTCTCTATTATTTTGAGAATCTACAACCAAAATATCAAGGAAAAGTTTGTTAAATGGTCTTGACAGTCCCATAATGGCAAAATCTTAGAGTCAGTTTTTTGGTTGAAGAAAATCTTGTTTGACTACTTTAATAGGTATTGTGGGGTGGCTTTTAAGAGTACATATATTTTAAAAAATTAACAAAAATATTTAGTCATTAAGCACATCTTGACCAGTAAAACAAATAAGATGAATTTATTTGTTCCTTTATCACCTGACCAACTTTTTGTTTAAAATTCACAGAGTATAATTAAAGGAAGAATAAAAGAGTATTTACAGTAGTGGGGACCCAGAGAAAGCTGGAGAAAGAAAACAATAGTTAATTTCCCCATTGAAATAGCATATTTTTATTTGTGTGTGGTTAAAAATATTAAATTGGAGCAAGGGAAGGGGTAGCATTGTCCAAAAATAAATATACTCTTTCATCTGCCTTATGGAACTGTAAGCCCTCTGTACATCACCTTTAGAGTAACAATACAAATTTTAATTTAAAATTTGAGATTCTGACACTTGAATTTCTCTCTGATGTTTGCAGAACTGCAGGGTCAGAGTAACCCTTCTTCCCCAACAAATATCAAAGAGTAATATCTGGTACTAAAGGACAAATGTAAGAGCACAACAAAGAGGTCCTAACACAGATGATGTGGTCCAAATGACCATTTCCTGAATGAGTGTTTTGTTTTGCTATGGGAAATGTAACAACCAAACAGAAAAATCTAAATGCTCCATTGATGGGATTGTCTTTAGTGAAACTTTCAGTTGTTTCAGAGAACTTTCACACGCCTTACAAAAGGCTACAGAAGGCAGGCATATATAAAATCTTTAATTGTACAAAGGAGCTGTTTGTAAATACAGTGCCATCTTAATCAATGTCACTGCTTTCAACATTCTCACCCACCCCTCCCAATATACCCCTTCCCTCCCCCGTTTATCTTAAAGTTAGGTTATGTGTTGAATTTTTTGCCTTTTAAGCAATTGATGTGTGCAGTGCATCTTGATCTGTGTCATCACTTCAACATCTTCACCTCCTTCCACTCACCCCTTCCTTTATATTTCTCAGATCTGTGGTTATATACAATGAATTCTTGCCTGCATTCCCCCCACCCATTCACTTTCATTCTTCTACCCCTCCCCTCTTGGCCCACCCTCCACTCTAGCAATTATCCTAGTACTTACTTTGTTGGGCTTTGACTTACTCTTTTTTTTTTTTTTTAAGAATTATGCTATTTGCACTCTCCATAGAGTCTATTACACTTCAGTTAATTCAGTTAATGAGGGAAACCATGCAACATAGGTCTCTCTGGCTTACTTTACTTACCATAATTTTTCTTAAGTCTTTTATTTCTTTTTTTTTGGGGGGGGGGTCCAGTTGTGGGACCTGAACTCTGGGCCTGGTCACTGTCCCTTAGCTCTTAAGCTCAAGGCAAGTGCTCTACCACTAAAGCCACAGCGCCACTTCCGCCTTTTTTTTTCTGCTTATGTGGTGCTGAGGAATCGAACCCAGGGCCTCATGCATGCAAAGCAAGCGCTCTACCACTGAACCACCTTCCCAGCCCCAAGTCTTTCCATTTCTTTACAAATGATACAATATCATTCTTTCTGATGGGTGAGTAGAATTCCACGTGTATATATACCATATTTTCTTGACCCATTTGTCCATTGAAGGGCATCTGGGCTGATTCTATATATTGGCTATAGTAGACAATGCTGTAATGAACATGGTTGTGCTGGTAGCTTTAGTGTGGCCTTCTTTGTGCTCTATTGGGTAAATGTCCAGGAGTAGAACTGTTGGGTCACAGAGTAGTTTTAAGTTTAATTTTTTGAGGAATCTCCATATTGCTTTCCACCCCCCCCCCCAAAAAAAATATATATCAAATAGTCCCTCTGTATCTCTCTGTGTCTGGGGAATATGTTCCAAGGTATCTAGCAGATACCTGAAAGGGCAGATACTACCAAACCCTGTGCATATCATATATGCCTATGATAAAGTTTCATTTATCAATTTTGCATAGTAAGAAATTGATGAGCTGGGCATGGATGGCTCACACCTGTCATCCTAGATACTCAGGAGGCTAAGATCTGAGGATCACAGTTCAAAGCCAGCCCAGGCAGGAAAGTCTGTGAAACTCTTATCTCCAATTAACCACCAGAAAACCAGAAATGGCACTGTGGCTCAAGGATTAGAGGGCTCGCCTTGAGCTGAAGAGCTCAGAGACAGTACCCAGGCCCAGAGTTCAAGTCCCACAACCAACAAAAACAAAACCAAAAAAGAAAGAGAGAGAAAGAGAGAGAGAGAGAGAGAGAGAGAAAGAAAGAAAGAAAGAAAGTTTATAATAACTTTTACCAAAATAGACTGGTTCTAATAACATACTGAAATAAAAGTGATCTGGATCTTTCATTTCACAAAGTATCTTACTATACTATGCTCATCTTTTTCTTATGAAGATTTGAGATGACACACAGTTTTACACAGAGATGGGGTGAAAGGAAGGACAAAGACACCAAGAGACAGTATTAGGACAA